ATGCGTGATCGCCATTGCAGTTTATGCAGCAAGTGGCCTCTGCTGCGCACTCCTTGTCATGCTGTGGATTTCCACAACGCTTGCATCTGGGGACATCTCTGCAGAATTTTTGGGTGTGCCCCAATTTTCCACATTGCTGGCAGAGTCTGGGGTGTTCCTCGTAGGGTTCTGCCCGATACGTTATCAGATAGATTCGCAGGTAACGGGGGAGTTCGGTTGCGACGAGAGAAATTTTGATTGTTCTGGTAGGGATCATTTGGCCATCTAGTTTACAGCTAAAACGTTGTACATTTATTGGGAGTTGGCCGTCCTCCTTGAGTAGTTGGTAAATTTCCTGTGCGTGCAGCTCCACAGGTACACCTTTTATTATACATACACAGGCATAGGAGCCTCTAGTGAGGCAGATGTGCACAAGAATATCGTCAATTTGAGTGAGTTTGAGTATGATGGGGATGAATGACTGGGTCGCTGTTACAAAAATTTTGCCGGTTCTTGTTGTCAAGATGTTTGATATTTTCCCGTGTATATTTTCATGTGAGCGCTTGAATTGCTGGTAGACACGTTTACCAGTTAGAGGGGGGTGTGTTTTCTCTGTTTGCAGGACACATGTCGGGTTGTTTAGAGTAACGGTACGGGAGTTAATCCGCCGAAGGAGGTCCACATTGGAGGGTTCCTTGTGGTAGAGCCAATAAGTGGGGTCTGATTGGAGGGTTGTAGTCGTGGTGGTTGGAGCAGTCTCCTGGTTGTGGGAAGCTTGTTGATCGACTCTGACACGTGATGGATGTTGTCCGGAGGTTGACGGGGTGTCAGATGACCACATGTTGCGTCCGCTGGGGGAAATTCCTTGAATTCCACCTCCACCTCCTCCCGACCACAGGGATTGTTAATAAAAAGATTGTACTTACACAGATTCTTTGATAAGTAGTTTCCTTCGAATTTGAGACTATATTCGGTACAAAATTTGGTCTGAAAAACCTTTATCGTTTCGGTTCGATGTGATTCGATCCGTTCTAGTCCAGTCCTATCAGTCTATTCCAACATATCGTCTCAGAATCCTGAATTAGTTGGTCTGAAAAACCTTTATCGGTTCGGTTCGTTCCGTTCCGTTCCGTCACACCACCAGACTCAGCTGTTCAGTTTCGCTGACGCTATTTGAACTAAGGCGCTAGATTACCCAGGTATGCTCATACGCTTCCGTCACGTGTGCAGCCATATTGGTCCTTTTGACGTCATATTCCAAGATTTTTAAATTTAGCTGTATTTTATAACTAGTTGAACTAAATTTTGGCAAAGTTTATCATTTCGACCTTGCAAAATCTTAAGATACAGTTGAATTTATGATTATTTTCGTGTCTCTTCTATTGAACTTCTACGAGAGTCGTCAGCTTTCTAAGGACCAACATGGCGGATGAGCATACCTGGGTTATCTAGCGCCTTAATTTGAACGTCACGACACTAGCGGCATCTCGTGGTAAAAACCAGAACTATGGCTACGGAATCGTTCTGTAATTAGACGCCAGTGTAGACTAAGCGAGCATTAGTTTTAAATTGTGCCACTATGGCAAACAGCGCTAATAGCCGTTTTCGTTTTGTGGTATTGTAAGGAACCAAGTCCGAGCGTTATTTTTAGTTACTTTTATTTTTGCTTTTTTATTCTCTTTTTGTTTGGGCTTAAGTTTTGTTAGGACGAAGGTTTCCTCACCATTCACCTTAGAAACTTAAAAATAGAAGAGAAAACAACTCACCTAGAGAAAAGCGCCGTAGAAAAAACTCGCGCACACTTGCGCTCCCTAGCGGAAAAAAGTAAGTCCGCACCGAGAAAAGGGGGAGGAGACCCCACAAGCACAACTTAGGAACTTGCTAAACCTTAAAGAATAAAACATCCCGAAAATTGTCAAAAATAATAATGTAAAAGGTTAGCGAGTATTGTCGGAAAATAGACTGCCAGACAAACAGAAAAAAGTTTGTTAGCAAATAAGTATGTAAATGAGGGGAGTGATTGCACTCAGAATTGTGACGTCACCTCACAGTATAAAGACCGAACCTCAAGTGAAGATGACCGAGGTGAGCTTCGTAGCATCAAACGAGTGATGTGTCTGATAGCATAAAGTACGTCCAAGGCGATTTTGAAGTTATTCGATTTGTGGATCGAAGATTAGAGAAAGTCTTGAGAGTTGAGGAAAAAGATTCCTAGTATATTGAGGTGACGATTAGGACCTTTAATTCATAAGAATTATTGTACATAAGTTAAGTCTTTGAATTTTTTGTCGAGTTCCAAAGGAGAATAAAGTTAGAAAATAGATTGATTTGAGTTTTGTCGGGTTGATTCTTATTGATTTACGTTGAATAAATTGTTTTGATTTTTACTAAATTATGAATATAGTTATTACTAGAATTTTTATTATATTGTGATTTCTGCGAGTTATATAAAGGCGCACAATCCAGATTAGATAACATAAAACACAATTATTTATTAACTCGCTAGTTCAAATACAGGATTTCATAGGATACCAACAATTTCAGTTGTCCCTTTTTCCGAACCGAACCTCCGATTAAATAAAATTATCTTACTTAATACTAGGTTCCTATTACTACTTAAACTAATTGAATATAGCCGGCTTATTCGAAGATTTAGAAGGTGAAAGAAAAGAATAAGGAAAGAGGGTACCCAAAACTTGATGATGCAGGTTGAAGTGTGTGGGCTCGTGGATGAGGCTTCTCGTCGGTCAAGGGGGGGCTGATTCACTCAATTCTTGTTTCACACCGATATATTAATCCAAAAGGGGCGATCCGTCTGGTTCCTCTCGATCCAGTTCCTTTTTCTTTCTCTTGTTCAAGGTCCTCTCTTTTTTTTTTTTTTTTCTCACCATACAATCAAACTTACAGAGGAGGCTTTCCTTTCGATCTCCTCTCTCCACTTCCTTCCTCTCAGTCTACCTGTCCTTTCCCTTCTCCTCCCACTTCCAGTCTGCCCCCGTTTTTCCTCTCCACTCACTCCCTTCGTTCTCCCCCTTCTTAACTCCCCCCTCGTTCCTCCTCTCACCTTAGTCCACTCATATCCCCTCTCAAAAGCCTCCCATTCATTTCTTTCATCTCAGTCCACCCACACACTAAAGTCAATGGGAAGACGATAAGATTATAGAAGAGTAAACAAATAGGACAGACGAAGGTGAAGTGAATATATATATATATATACGGTTTAAAATATGGCGTGTAGCCACAATATATTGGATTGTTTTTTGACAAACTTTGTCATTATTTAATTCGGTGCACGCTTAAAGTCCAGGCCTAGCACATTAACGCGAATCCGCGTAAAGTACCCGTTAGGTAACGGCTATTTCCAGCACATAGTTGTGTCGATAATCGTTGTAGAAGGCGGAAAAATGATATAGTACTTTACAGTATTTTTTGGTCATAATTTGTAATTATGAATGCTTTATTCGTAATTGCTACTGGTTAAAAATGAAAATAAATTAGTTTTAGATAGGCCTCTTACGTATGACTTCTCGAAAAGTTAATGTTCAAAACGGAATGCTCTAACTCGGGTGGACAACCTTTTCAGAAGGCGGTCAAATTTCAGAAATAATTCCTGCCGGGCCACGCACCTTTTTTTTTTTTTTTTTTTTTTTAGTTAAAGTAAACAAGAAAGCGTGTTACAGCTTCATCCACATCGTCGTTCCCGGTAGGTGAGATCGTGGTCAAACACTTGCTTGGTTTAATGTAAAAAAAACAAAAAAATAGATATATTTATTTTTTTGAAGAAAATAAAACATAGCCGAGAATCAAACATATTTATTAGACAATTTAAAAGTGAGACATCTGACTTTCAGTGCTGTCGATTGCAAAATCTCTCCAGATGCGTTGGCGATAATAAAACGAAACTATAGAATAACACTGAATTTTGTCAAGCTGGACTGAAAGTAGTTATGAGTATGAGGCCGATAGCATTGCGAGCTTCCCGAAAACGCCGAACACTACAAAACATATACAGCTGAAATTGAATATTAAATTTTATCGACATCTAGCGTCGGACAAAAAACTAAGTAACCCTGAGTGTCAAATAGCGGGATATTTTGAAATAGCTAAAAATCTATGAATGTTTCCAAAAATGAGATATTTCAAATTTCTCTTAGCTATAATTTAAAAATGCATGATACGACTAACTCATGACGTAATGTTCTTTTGGTGATATGTACAATAAAGTTAACATTTACGTTTATTTGACCTAGCTCCGTGGGCCGCAACTTGACACCCGGCGGGCCTCATGCGGCCAGCGGGCCTCGTGTTGGCCACCCCTGCTCTAACTCGTAAGATTATAAGGTGGGATTATGAATAAAATATATCAGGAGACTTTAAAAGTTATTTTTTCACTCTAAAAATGCTTCTGGAAATTTTTATTGGCTACGAACTTCTACAATTCCTTGATTCTCTTCAGATCTGTAAATAAGAAATTTGTAATACGGTGAAACTTCCATTAAGTTAACGGACATTCCCGAATAGCATACATCTCTACTTAATGGGCATTTTATCAATTTTTCGACCCTTCAAATAGGAAATCTATTAAATTTACCTTTAAATAGCGGAAACTCTAAATAAAGGACGCCTATTAATGCTGTTAAACATTGTTTTATTGTTGGAATTAAGCTCAAGGTACCGAGAAACCATAAAGTTTTTCCGAGTTATTCATTCATTTGACCGTAGTGCAGTGGTAACGAAGAAGAAAGTTAAAACAATTGCGACAACAGCGTTTATTGTGGTGAAAGTTTAAAGGTCGTGTTACGAAGGAGATTTGACGGCCACTTTAAATTGAAAGACTCCCTTGAATGGAGAATTGTATCACTGTATTCTTACACCACGCTTTTTAATTTTTAAAACTTCCGTGCGATAAGTAACTTCATTTCATCATGTTTTAGGTAACACGAATTAATTTAATTCTACTCAAAACATTAAGGTCGTACCGATTTTCGGTTTCGTTTAATTTTTACATGCGAAAATTATTATTAAGACTTTTGTGTAGACTTTAAATTATTTCTGCCATATTTTTTTGGCTATTATGATTCTGACGACAGATGGCGCCTGGAGAAAAGCAGACGACGAGGTGGAGTATCGTTGGTAAGAGAGAAGTTTCGTTATGGAATTTATTATCAATTTTTACATATAATTTAGATAATTTAACGAATATTTTCGATAATAATCACGTAAATAGCATTGTAAGCTCGGACTCCTATCAAATACTGTGCTTATATACAGTAAATATAAGATGCGTAGTTATCGAATAACTGCTCTTTCCATAGGAATTAATGCTATAATCAAACACAAAGTTTAGCAAATAATATTTAGTATTCGTTATATATTATATAAATTGCGTAATTCTCGTCTTAATATTTATAATAAATTTAATTTATTACTCAAATAGGTTCAAATGTAGCTGTGAGTGATGTGGTTGGGACTTTGAGAGCTGCAGACAGTGCCCATGAGTGTAAAAATGTCAAAAGAACTTCCTTAGACTTCTTTGCTTGTCTAGGGAGTTTTAAAATTCGCTGGGGGTTCAAACTCATTCAAAACTACAATTACACTCTTAAATATTTCATATTTTCTGTGTGGTATTAATGGTAATTGTTAGGTATGAGTTAAGTAAGGAGAGGTAATTGTTTTGTTATTACTTAAGGATAATTAGGTGAATTGTGACTAGTAGCAGTGGTTCTGGGATGATTTGGGGTGGGGAAGGCACTTTTGCTTTGTTTTTCCTTACAACAAATTTAGAGATTGGCACTGTGAGTGAGCACTGTAATGCGTGACTATGTATGGAATGAAGGTTGAGGAGAGTGACAGTGAATTTTGACTGATGTGGAGGATGGAGAATATGCAGTGGTATTGGTTCGTGCAAAAGTGCCCTTTCCCGTTTCGAATTTCCCTAGAACCACCGTCAATTGTCACATTTTACCTAATTACCTCCTAAGTAATTAAAAAAAGAGTACATACCCTTTCCCTAACTCATATCAATATTTTCTACTTGTTACTTTTTAAATTCATGCAGAGATGCATTTACTTGAGCATCTTTGGTTATAATTGTTATAATATGAATTCATTTGAGTTGTTAAATTATATATCTTAATGAAATACCTCTGTAATTCTTGTCTGGAAAGTCTGTTCATATATATTGTTGTTCCAATGCTCAATCCTAATTGCTCTTTCTAGAGTGTTACTGGTTTATGGAAACTATGATCTTTATTTCTGTTAATTGACTTCAGCATTTTTAAATTAGGTAAAATTGCAGCTTTGAATGAGATGGTTGGGCATGGTTTAGAGCTCTGATAAAGTCCTAACCACATCATTTGGATATGAATTTAACCTCAGATTGGTTTCCTATTGAGTTTCTGAAAATTTTATTCTAGAAGTATCCATTTCAGTTGGATTTTACATTTGAAGAGCTTCCTTAACAAATGTCTTACCTTGTATTTGGAGAGATGACTATGTACTTATTATTAATGTTACAAAATCTTTAATACCCCCATCAATTAAAATTAAAATGAATGAATTCTTTTAATTAGGATTTTTATACACTTTATTTCATTAGAACATTGAATTTTGATAACTGAACAAAGTCTACATCATACTAAAACCAAGAATTTTTAATGATGATAACAAATTTAATGTGTTGGTTTACTGCTTGTTGATTGATATAATGAGAACCATCACTAAGAAGCATAATCATATGTGTACAACTATCTTTTATATAAAAAAATGTAGTTATCCCTGAGAAAATAAAATAATAATATGGTATTTAGAGTAAATTATTGGTACAGAGAAAAAGAAGCCAAATAAATGCTATTCCATCCAGAAAAAATCTAATCAAGATTCTAAATAACAAAAGTAATATTAAAGAGATGAGTATCTGTGATGCAGAAATATGTGTAACTTTGCCTTGTTGCATTCTGATATGAAGTGCTCTTTCCACAAGACTTATTTGAAGAAAACAACATTAAGATTTCATAATTGTCAAATTACATCATTAGGATCCATTCTGCCATAAATTTTTAACCGGTCTCTTGAAGCAATTCAGAATTTTATGACAAAACAATGTAGCTGTGATACTAAAAATATCCCTGCAAGCTGTTGAAGAGACATGAATTCTGCATCATTGAGGTAATATCAAATACAATGAAACAAGAACTTCAGCTGACCATGCCTAAAGATACAATTATTTGAACATAGTGTAGTACACTATGTTTTAAGAGTTTGATACCTAAATACAAGGCAACTATATTGGATTTCTGTCAAGTGAAAATGATCAAGGATTTGAAAAGTTAATGCTATGACAGTAACATTAACATCTGAAACAAAAATCTTATTCAGTGACAAGAGGATATTTAATTTAGAGGTATGATTTATGTAAAACCACAATTTTTTTTCTGATATTTTTCTGGACGAAATCTTATGATTTGGAGAGCCTTCAGTTCTTGAAGTGAAATTGACCTTTACATCATTCGAAACAGACAGTACTGATCCCATATTTGCAATGCTTTAGAAGATTAAAGTTTACTTTTCAGCATGACAAAGTGTCAATAGAAATTAGTACAAGCATATATGTTTATAAAATCAGTGAAATTCTGATATGAAGTGACCAGCTTGTTCTCAAATTGCAATCTTACGGAAAATGTATGGGGAATTCTAGTGAGAAAAGTTAAATTATTTTGACCCAATTGAATTTGAATATTTTTGATTCATTCCTTTATTATCCCTGCTCTAAATAAGTACTCAATTTGCTGAATGAGCCAGACTGATTGATCAGAGTACAGTAGAGCGTAGTTTATCCAAATCAATTGGGGACTGGGATTGTTTGGAAAATCGATATTTCGGATAACCGATGATATACGAAAAAATATATTAACCTATCCTGTATTGAAATTTTTCTCCGTTGCGTGTCACTTTGCGTTGAATTTTCATCGATGTTAAACCTAACATAAACTTTTTAAAATAATAATCGTGGCTATTGTATTGTTAAAAATTATTTCTTTATTCTTTTACAAACAAAATTAATTTATTGAAAAATATAAAAACAAAAAAAATTATACTTCAGAAGTTAATCTAGTATCAAAAACATTTGATTCAGCACGATACACAGTCCTCAGAAAAACACCACACGAAAGTGCCATTGCTGCCAGCTAAAACACATTAACAAAAAAAAATATTGGAGTAGCCCAAGATATAGCCAAAGATTGCAGTCCCACAGCACTAGTGAAAATTTAAATTTGCCAACTGGAATGCTTTTGGATAAACGACGCTCTACTGCTGTGGTTCTTAACCTGTGGTCCCTGAAAGCACCCTAAGTGGTCTGTGAAGTCATCCTAAAATTATTGAATAAATGATGATGATTCAAGCATTGGCTGCTAAAACGTTCCTTGAATACTTTGCTATTACGATGAAAACAGCTATAAAAGTAGTGAACTTCATTAAAAGGAGTGCACTTAATACTCGTCTCTTCAAAAAATTATGCAGTGATATGAACTCTGAACATGAAACGCTACTTTTTCACACCGAAGTGTGATGGCTTTCCAAAAGAAATATGCTGTCAGGGTTGTATGAACTGAGAGAAGAAGTAAAATTATTTTTAACTAATAAGGAAAACAAAGAGTTGCTGTCTGAGTTCTGTCAGTTCAAATTTCAAATACATTTTGTTTATTTAATGGAATTTTTTTTGCACAATTAAATAAATTGAACCTTCAACTGCAAGGGTCAGGAAATATGAAATTGGAAGGCACTAGCAATATATTTGCATTTGAAGATAAAATCAGTGCATTTATCACTAAAATTGACCTATGGATCAGCAAAGTCAAAAGAGAGAATTTTTCTGCGTTTGATACATTGAACCCAATTATTGACGGACAGTGTGCTGAGATTAAAGGACAAATACAAAAGAATATTACATTCCATTTGCAAAATTTGAAAAATGAATTCAATCACTATTTTCCTGACTGCAAGGACAAAGGTATTCGGAAACTGATTTGCAATCCTTTCATAGTCAACATTTCTGAGGTGCCAGATGAAATACAAGAAGAGTTAATTGAAATGCAACACGATAGTAACTGCAAGGATACATTCGAGACAGGAATTAATGTTGAAGATTTTTGGAGCCAAAAAGCTATTGCTTTCCCTAAAATTCGAGAAATTGCTTTATGGTACCTAACTTTATTTCCAACCCCATATTTATGCGAGCAAGAATTCTCAGTGCTTTTGATAATTAAAAATAAACATCGAAATCAGTTGGATGCCAGTGCCGACATGCGTTTGGCTTTGAGTAGCACTGAACCAAGAATTCAGCAGTTGGTAAACAGTATGAAGTCACAAAAATAGCACTAAAATAATATAATTAATGTAACATTTTCACAAATAATAATACTCTTGGTTCCAAATAATTTTATACATGTTTAATTTATAGAACAACCTTATAAGAATCTATATTACTGCCAAATAGCTCATGGTCCATGGCAAGACAAAAATTTTGATAAATGGTCCCTCATCACTAAAAGGTTAAGAACCACTGCTCTACTGTATACTGAATTTATTGTTAATTTAAATAATAGCTAGGGGCACCCCTAATGGCCATTTTTGGCATATAGTAACAGAAAGAAAGAATCCAGTTTTTCAGCTTTATATAGTTAGATTGGATATTTTTTGGTACATTTGATCCTGTTTTAGACTTTCATCTTCATCTTTCCTATAGTTTCTAATGAGATTGGCAAAGCTTCTGGTATAGTTGGTATTAAATTTTAATTTGATTGAGTTCAATTAAATGTAAGAATATATTGTCATACTTGGAGATTTCATTTAATAATCCAAATAGGTGTAATCCAGAATTCTTCCAGTGAATTTTCACAATTTTGAATTACATCTATTTATAAATGGAATGATAGGATGATAATTTGCTGTTATCATACTATTTCTCTTTTGTTGGGCTGCAATTTGAAAAAATTGTAGACCTACAAATGTCTTTCTTTAATCTTTGAGAACGGAGCTAGTTAGATAAAAGATGAGACCAGATATATTAACCTTATGGGAAGGAGGTCCTGATTAACTATATATAAACTTCTGATGCAAACTGGAAGTCATGT